TCTTAAGTACGCTTACTCAAGCGCTAAGCTACGGCAGCCCCGCTCTACCATGCTTTCCATTGAAACAAGCTATTTGAAATTTACATATCGGCACCAAATACAAACCTGTTAATATTGGCGGAGATTTTATATAAGCGCATACAGTCAAGCTCTACACGTAAAGCCCAATGGGGTTTCCGCATCCGACTTCCCGTGCTCTGCGTGACTATAAACAATTCTGTCATCAAAATGGGCTTGTGCATTACCATTATGTGGCCTGAATAGCTGCGTCTACAGACGATTTGGCGTCTTTATTGTGTGAAACACTTCTTGTTGATAACATTGCATCCAAAGTTTTTACCACAGTAAAATGGTGCCATTGTCTTGCATCAGCAATATATGATACTGATCAACGTGGTCTAGGGCACTGACTAGAATGCAGATACCAATGCCGTTCTACAGCATATATTTTCTCTAGGAATTGGCGTTGCGCCAAAATTATAGCCGCGTAAAGAATATTTTTCCACAAGACGTTAAACCTTCTGATACACAAGCTTGTCCCGAGTGCGCTAAGGATCGCTTAAAGCAGCCATATCAAGTGCGCAAGTGCGCTTTCGAATACTTATATATCATGAGCCTAACCCCGTCTTCCACGACTTCAAAACAAACTACGCAAATGGCAAGGGACGAAGCCGACCAAGTACTACCCGCATCAAGTTCGACAAATTGACCTTTCACACCTACATTGAGATGCAAAGAAAGCGCGCTCTGTGCTGTTTAACAAAATGACTTATCACGCCTTCATTGAGATGCAGCTGATGGGAAAGAAAGCGCAGTTATTCAGTACTTCGACTTAGCAATTTGCTAGCTTGTGTGAGAGATCTTGCAGGTGCTGGTGGTTAGACTCTGAGGATAAATACCATGAAGACAAAAGCATACAGATCGAGCTTTTACTTCGTCGACGCCATTTTAAGACCAAGACAGATGAAGGCGATGATGCGCTGAAGTACATAACAAAATGAAGACGAGGCTGAACAGCCTGACGCATTTGGGATGCCTGTCAGTGAAAGGATTTGGTAATCGCTTTTAATGTAAGCCTCAAGGGGTTGCATCACAGTCTAATAACGGCGTAAAGTCGGAAGTTGTGGAAAGAGTGACTCCTATAGGAAATCGATGCGCAAAAGTAATGACGGTGCTTTTGAAAGCAGCCCTCAAGGAACGAAAAGTTTTCAATATGACCAGCGCCGATTACTACAGAAAAAATATTAGCGTAACACTTGGTTTCAGACGTGGTCTGCAAGAATGTGCGGTGGTAGAGGTGAATGTCGCGCAGAATGAACAACTCTAGCAACTGTCTCTTCCTTTTGATGATTAGATTTAATAGTCTGTGGCTAGCCGAGATAGAAGTGACAAAACACATACTCAGCACAAGTTAAAAGTGAAGAGCTACAAGGCATTTACGCTCGTGAACATGCATCTGACACCTGACAGCACTGTACAAGAACTGACGACATCACGACGTCAATAACAAACTCGCGCGAAAATAATACATTTTCACCGAAGATCTCGCTAAACTTTTTTTGAGTGATTGATTCACAAAAGATTTCGGACCTATCATGCTTGAGAACAACGACTTCTTCTCGCAAGCAATAGGGCTTGTTTGAAAGCTTGGTGTACGTCAGCCCTATTCAGTTCTGCATGGCGAGAGAAATGAGGGGAAGAGGGCAAATTCGAAATGTTGTACTTGACCCACCAATTCGCATCTTCTGTATCTTACTGTGAAATCAAACATTAGTTTCCGGACTTCAATTTGGATGAGCCTTGAAACAAACGACACCAGAAATGACATTGCTTGAGCAGACAATAGAACTTCCGCGATTGAAGCGTCGCAAAAGCCTGAAGGAATTGTCCATTACAGTGTGTTTGCAAGAAATGCCACCTAAGTTCACGTCAGAAATGGGTATTTCTTAAAAAAAAACAATTGACAGGAAGGTGCAAATCAAATATAGTCATCCTGCGGAGCGAACGCAACCGTCTGAATGAAAGCCAGGCCGACCAAGCTTAGCGAAACAAGGTGCGTCTTGTGTCCAGTGACTAAACTCAAGGTAAGAATGTGAGTTCGATCACTGTATCGACATCAATCATGACAGAAAATACTTGAACTTCATTGCGCTCTGCATCGACAATTGCGTCCCCGCAAGAAGTATTACAATTATGTTTTACGAAATTAAAAGTGCTATGCAATCAATTTGATAGTGATGGACACGGACCATGTTTAGTATTTCTTAAGCATGTGGATCAAGCAACTTGTTGGGGCTTAATATGTATTTGTGACAGATGAAATTTGCTGAGGATATGTGTGGGAAGTTTTAGGCTAACAACAACAATCGATTTCAAGACGCTCAAATTTCAGGTCTCAACGTTGCCAAGGCAATGCCTCAAGTCTGTTGCAAGAACCATGAGAGCATGATAACCTGTCTAGTCATACGATAGTCAGACACAGCCCGATCTCATAGCAGTAGATGGGGCGCTTCGTCAATTTGCGGTGGACCCTTGTCGACATATAGTAGATACTTAAGAGAGTGTTTCGATACATTTACGCTCGCATAGCACCACATCGAGTCTCAAGAAAATAGCTTTAGACATCTTCTGGGCTTTATGATTAAGAAGAGAGCTAACGGCACTGATTCAAAAAGGACCTCAAGAGGCAATACATCTATGATGAGCACGGGTGTATGAGCTGGCGAGCAAGAGACAACGAAATTTTGCGCTTTCATTTACGAGGCTAAGTACATGGACCTTTGAAAAGATACACGGACGATATAACTGAGGCTTGTTGGCCAAATGGCAAGCTTATTCGATGAAGCGGTCAAGGAATTTGAGAACAATCAAAGATCAATTGTAAAGAATCAAAAGTTTCTCAAGTGCACCATGTGCATCGATTTTTTCTATCATTTTTTGAGCGGGTCGATTGAAGACGAACACGTGGTGTCCGAATGAACCTCAACAGTAGACATGCCGACCGATCTTTGGTTCAAACAACACCATTTACCTCAATTCTATACAAGCTCGAATTTTACAAGTCAGAAGCTGCCGAGCTGAGCCAGAGTGTTAAAGAGTGGATGCCTCGACCAGCGATGACGTACGGATACGATACTAGAATGGTTCCCTATCACCGGTTTGACCGCATCACTTTCAAGCTGGTGATGCTTAGAATGATAACACCTGGATGGGGATGATTAAAAAGACTGAGCAATTTTTAGTTGGCTTGTGTACGTTAGTATGTAAGAATATGAAGTCAGGCTAGACGACGGAACTGGACTTCGCTACTCGTCTGCAATTTAAGGACCGATTAACAAACTTTGCGCTGAAGATTAAGCGTACAATCAATGTTTTATTTGTTTCCATGTTTTGTCCTCGCACGAGTAATCTATGCGACACGCACACTGTTAGTCTCACCCAATGCATTATATAGTTTGTTCAATAAGGATTGCAAACTGAAACTGAAATATCAGCTTTAGCCGACTTGTATTGTAGAAAACGAAAATCATAATCTGAACATGTGTGAGTTCTAGTTACTTAAAAAAATTTCTTAGTTTGGTAAAGGTGGTGATCCAATCAACTTCACGCTAGTCAATGCGGCCTATGAGTATCTAAGCTTTCTTGAAGCAAAGATGGCAACAATTTGTCATTTCGGTAGCTCTTTTCGGCATTTTGGCGTACAATACTTAATCCGACATTATTCTTGTGAAATTGGAATATAACATTGTCTACTGATCTAATATCGGGGCAACAACACATACTTGACAAGATCATGACATTAGCTGGTAGCAAGATAAGACCAAGAAGCAGCGACTACTCGCTTTGGGAGCTATGAAAGTGTTTTGTCGAGGTACGTCTCAATCAGCAGCGGGAGACTACCGGGTCATCTAATGCTCAACAGTATAAGATTACTCTGGTTAGCGTGAAGCCCTTAAAAATAAGATATTGTCTTTTCTGGATAGAGGAGGAAGAGATGGCAGTGAACTCAAACCTACTCTAATTGAATTATTATGCGTCACACTAGCGGTCTCCAAGCTAGGTAACTCTGGTACAGATGTCAGTTAGCCCCATTCAAGGTGTTAATCATATTTAGGGAAGGTTTCGTACAGATACGACTTGATCAGCGATTTCCGCGGAGACATAACCTCTTTGGAGGATGTGGTTGGTGTCACAGCGAAACACAGTCTTTTATGACAGGGTCGGCTAGGACGCGAACAGTGAAGGCTATGGCAACCTGCCTCAACTTTTATACGCAAGAAAATGTAATATATAGCTGCAAAGCAGCTTTGTGATACCTGCAAGCGTCACATAAAAGTAAGAAACATCTATGCCCTGTGTTCCTTGTCTTTTTTGATTAGGCGGCGTAAAGAATGCCATACAGGAAACGTATCACTGATCCTTCGCCGAGTAATGTCAAATTGCCTTGAAGCTTTGAAATTCCTGAATTTCACTGAATCTCATAAGTGTTGAGGCAAATGGGATCTAGCCCTATGAAAGCGATATTTGTTAAAATAGGTAGTGCTTAGTGGTCGCTTATATCGACGTTCAATGGTTGTAAACCATGGAATCTTTGGTAGCCTTAAACACGCACGTGCAGCTACGTGGATGGCACAACAGCTAACGTTAGCCGATAGTACGCGCTAACTGTAAAATTTTCGAGTACATATACCAGTCAGGGGCCCTTCACCTGAGTATTAAAGGCTCTGTGGAAGCCCACTGTATAAGTGTGAGAGCAATGTTCAGGAACCACGCGCCTCGCTCGCTTTGGAGCTTTGGTGGATTATGAACATCAGATCAGTAGCGTTTGTTGCGCGAGCACAAAACTGCAGCAGCTAATAATGCAGAACATGTGGTTGTTCGGGAGAGTTGACAACGAGGTTGCGAAAACGCCTCGAGCACAGCATGAAAAGTAGAAGCGCTGTGAGCTGCGGCAATCGGTCGAGACATGAATGAGTGAGCGTGCATCACTGCCTCTTAAACCGGGCTGACAAATTATGGGGTTCGAACTTTTTCAATACTAAGCTGTCGGAGTGATGAGTCGAGCGGACGGAGGAAGTGCCTGACAGACGTATAAATTTGTGATCTCGGGTTCGTCGGACATTACTTTAGATCGTCAATTGAAGAGGGACAATGTGTTTACAGTTAATAGGGTTAGACCCTGTGAAGACGAAGCAAAGATGCTTAATGCCGCTTATTTTGGCGCGAATTCTGTGAAGTCAGGGGGCTGTAAAATGTGCTTAGAAGGGTCAGACTCAGATATCAATTTGGATGGTCCGGCATAAGAACCACGTGACACTACAACTTAGTAATACGCAGTGGCGTGCCCTGCGTTTAAAAAATTACAGCGCTGGTACGTGTCAAGCCGTCATTATATATATATAAATGGAGCGACTGATGTAATACCAGGGGTGATTGCGTTCTCCGAAATACCCACCTAAATTTCTAGCAAGGCTTGAGGGAGAATCTTAATCAGTTGTATACGAGGAGCTACAGACGAAGATATTCTTGAGTAATTTCTGCTAGTACCGGAAGCGAGCTATGCTCATAAGTTACCATATACGAGTCTGACTAATAACATTCGGAATGCACATAACATTTGGAGCCAATCAGCAATCCTTGAAAAGCTTTCTAATACGTTAAATGCTCTGGAAACGTAAAACCGTGATGCGATGATAATAAACCTGACACAAAACTTGCCTTTGATTGTCTGGGTGTCATAAAAGTGACATGGCTTTTAAAACAGATATTGCATAATGCCGCAATGGTCCCAACCTAGGGAACAATGCGACGCCATAGACATTGTTCGTACAGGGCACAAAGCGGCAGTGAGATAAAGGAATCTCCCCACCTGATGCCGACTTTAACACCATGAAGGCAATGGCAAGTGGCGAATTGTGCAAGCGCAGACAAAGCTAGATACATGAACTACTGCGAAATAAGCAAATGTATTTCTTTGGATGCGCTGCTGATAACTGTACAGGATTCTCCTGTACAATACATCGTTCGATATAACCAGTTGCTCATGAGGGCTCGTAAGATTCATCTTACTGATACCGGGCTGCTTTGTGGTTATGCCTCTAGGGCTAATTAACGCACCAGCTACGTTCAACAGTCAATTGGCACAGCTAACCACGCCAATTTGTGCATATGCTATTTCGAAAAAAAATGATCCATAGCCGTGCCAATTTTGACCCCCGGACTGACAAGAATATGTAAGGAAATCTCAAAAAGCTGGGTGGCACTGATCGAAAGTGCGTAATAGAGTACATTTGACCTGTGTTAGCCTGCAAGCATTTGAACAAGCAAGCGTGTCTTAGTCTGTAAAAAAATCTGTGTGGTCTAAATTTAACGAGGCTGCATGCAGTCTACAAAGGTCATGACAAGCCATTTAGGCGCAAAGCTCTTTGGGGAAGTCAAAATCACCATTAGAACGGAATCGGGGATAATACCTGGCGTGGCTTAAGTGTAGTGCAGACCATGCCGGCATAGCTCGAACCCTTACTGGTCTTCTTGAAAAAGTCATTTAGTACTGGAGTGCAGCAACAAACGGGGTGGTCTTAATACGCCTTGTGTCCGGCCTAATTATAGCTCCTTCGAAAAAAGCGGATAAGCCACCCTTTTCTTACTAAGCATCAAAACGGGGTCAGTTTATTTCAAAATTTTACGTATTCTTCGTCGACGATATATCACAAGAGTGATGGCACTGGTGTTACCTTCAAACTAATGAATTGTTATAACTTTTCTTGCGAGGAACCATACCGATTAAATTCCATAATAAAATAATAAATAACAAAGATTATCGCTGCTTGAAAAGAAATACTATGTAAATTGTCAATGACCCACACCAAGAGAGCAGAAGGCATCATAGACCGCTCGTCGGTTGTCCACACTGTCACGTCGATCAATGATAAAGACGGCTACTATTCTGATACGACCATTATCAGCGGTGCGATCTGATCGTCCTTCAACTCGGTGCGTACTCCCCTTAAGGTAATTTCCTAAGCTCACTGAGAAACTTCAGGCAGTGCGGAGACGCTCATACCCCTTACTTAAACTATCACATATCTTTATTCATATTTGCTCGCCACTCAACCGCGCTGTGATGCTTCGCACAATAACCGGCTGTATCGTCAAACAGCGGCCATCATCCCTATTCCAGGCCCTTCTACTCGCAACACACGTGGCTCCTTAAGAGAATTTTTTAGATAACAGAACCAAGCCACTTCAACATTGTAACTTCTTCATGATAAAGGCATTAGTTTGCTTTTTTGATTTGGCTATTTTGATTCTTGGTAATCAGCTCATAGCTGCAACTACCTGACTCAACAGCATTTGAGCGTGACTTGGTCGCAAATTCTCGTCCCACCCGATGACGGCTCCTGCCTTCCAAGCTTTGCTCATTCCTCTTGGCGTTCTTGCTGCCAGCCCTACGATTCTTCTTTCTACGCCAAGGCTATCGCAGCTTTGTGATCGCATCAAATGCGTTATCAAGTTCTAGTAGAGGCAGGTGTATGATTTACTAAAGCTCCGCTAGGACAGAGCTGTGCGATGCCTGACGTTTTCAACTTCGATCCATGCTTCAAAGTATTGTCGCCAGGTCGAACATCAGATGTGATCGTGTCGTGAATACCAATGCATGTTCAAACAGTGTAGAGTGCCATTGAAGCTATTAGACTATTTATGAGGTTGAAAGAAATTCCAGGTGTCCCCGTCGCAAAATGCACTGAAACCTCTACGCCAAATTTAATTTTTCGATACTTTAGCGTACTTTCTACTGTTTTTGGCAGCTGTTTGGGTTTTCAAAGATTTACAAAGGCTAGACGGTGACGCTTACAGTAAGCAATTCGGGATGTACCCTCATCTTGAAAAACGTGCTTCTTTGGCTGGTCTCCATTGCTCTCAATCTTAACGAGGTAAGCTAGTTTACAATTCCTGACAAGTAGATGCACTGCGCGTGCATAGACTCAAAGTATTTTGCGATGAGATTGGCTCTGCGTGGAAGAACGTCCCCTGGTAGCGCAAAATCAAGATTGATGGAAAGACTACAGGTGTTGTTTTTACGTATGTAACACCTGCGGGTACCGCGATGCTGCTATGCAATTCTCGAGCGCAAGCTGGCTAAGGCCCATCGCCTTTGGCGTGCTCTAAAATATCTAATTTTTTGCGTTTGAATGGACGTTATGGATAGAAAGTGGTGTAACTTGTTCCCGCTCTGATAGCCAACAGTTTTAGTTTTGTCCTGCTTAGCCAGATGTTCTAGTCGCCTATAGAAGGATATAAGAATTGGGAATTTCTCAAAGATCGGGGTACGGGTTACCGACTGATCATATTATACAATAGATAATGGTGTCCAAAGTCATGGATGGTCTTTGGGAAGGTACGGCTTGCCAAACATCTCTCGCGTACATCGAAAGTCGCCCAACGAAGCGATAGGTGTCGTATTAAGTGAGAAACTCAATTTTTTGTCCGAATGGCTAATTGATGTAAGCTTTATAGGCTACCTGAGCAACCTACGGGCGATGAATCTCGGTCAGCCTGCGCACTAAGTAATAATGTCTTCGTTGCAGAGTAGCGTCGTGGTTCCCAAGGCTGTTACACCTGTAAGTGTACCAAAATTTAAGACTTGCTAATCTTTTGATCTTGATCAAGAGGTAAAAAGGGTTCAACCTCTCAGGTAGCGCCGGCCTTTTGAAGGGATTCCAAGTCTCAGATCGCGCAGGGCAGCTGCTTAAAAAAACATTAACCTCGAGAGGGGCGAGGTCAATCAATGAAAAATCGACTATTTTGATAGAGTTAAACGTTTCACCCCGAATTTGCTGGTTGCTCACACTTAGGTCACGAATATTTTATAGCTGTAAGAAGTTGTGAAGCTCTGACAGACGCATGGGGAATTGTTCGGTTTTGTGCGACACTCGACCTCTGAAAACAGCAGACAATACGCGGGAATATTTACAATGCCGTGGTTGGATACTGAATATGTGTATTTTGTGAAGGACACTAAACAAGCTGCTGAAAGATCTTTTAAATTCGCTGAAAAGTTTGAGACTTCTGGAAGAATGTCATACTCATGTTTTGTGCAGAGTACAAAACGATATAGTGAGAGAAAGTGATCTTTACCAATCGGCGACGATTTTCTCGCCAGATCATCTAAATTTTAATCAGCAAAGTGTGCATACTAGAAAAAGATAAATACAGCCAATTTTTTTGTGCAATCGCCTTTTCCCAGAAAGGATGTGCTGCCGAACAGCTTGCTTTGCTGCACTATGTAGAGTGCATTCTTTCTTGTCACTGAAAGCTATTACTGCCAACTGAGTCAGTAGTCTCCCGCTGATTGTAATTGAACCTGTCTGGCGCAAAAAGTCGTGATAACATCGAGTCTTCTGGCAGGATATAAACTGAAGCTGTCTGGGCTCGTCGCTTAGACAGTTTCGTGCATCAGCGACGTTTGATTGTCTTTGTATTTTGAAAATGATTTATCCATAGTTGTGAAGTGCCCAGGAAGTCGGATGTAGGAATCCATATTGATCACTTCCAAGCTATGCTTAAGTATATACGCTTAAATATGCTATCAGTCAACATAGACAAATGTGTCCTTGTCGCTGAACTAAAACTTTATTTGTTGGGAGCTTTATCGAGAGAAATGATTTTTTGAAGATACGGTCGGTCACCTCTAAGCCAAATTGCTGCGCACAAATGTGATGAGTTGCAGCCTCAAGTGTCACTATCTCTATTGTTGGATGTTGACATAAGTGAGATCTACTGGCTACCCACTTACACGAAACTCAGTGCAAAATATTACGACACGGAGCGTTCACTCATCAATCTTGCCAAAACGGATGTTTAATGATATTGGGGTGCGGTAAATAATACGGTTTGTATAGCCGTAGAAATAAATTTATCGTGCCAATATTTTGAATCCGACTCAGCCATTTCATGTCGTCTGCGTCAGTACGGCTACATCCATAGGTTGTCTCTTACTTAAAGCAGCTTTTAATTAGTGTATCATCAGGATTGAGCTTTGCCATCATTTATGCAGCAGATTAAAATTTCCCAGCGTTTGACAAGGAGCCACTGGCGTTAAAGTATGCTCTGGTCAAGCTCCGAATTTTCTTGCTTGGATATAAGTCACTTGTGATCACTACAGATCATGAACAATTGCGCACATCGACATCGTTTTTACCTTCTTGCTACCAGAGATTCGCTAGTTGGCTATCCGCTTTTCCGTGTATACCTCCCTGGAAAGTAACAATCGCGCTGGCTCAATGTGGCACCCTGACTATGATGCCGCATGCTTCAACGAGGATGTCTCGTATTGCTGGGCAAAGCAAATGGCGTACGGGACAGACACAACATGTTTGGCTCTTGGGAAGGTTTCATGAATAACGAAATTTTGAGTTTCGATGTCAAATTGACAAGCTCGGTTGCCCGTGTGTTTTACTACTAAGACTGGTTGATCCACAGCACTGTTCCACTGAAATTACTCGCGTGTGTCTTACCTCGCGATGAAAATTTTAAGTACATAAAACCGTTCGAAACATATGATATGGTAAGCGCAGTAAATGGAGACACATGCCTCGTTAGTAATTTGTAGTTGTGGCAAAACATAAATAATCAGGTTAGGGCCTGTGTGTACGCATGCGAACGTGTTAACATGATAATTTACTCACAATTCTCTAGAATGGACTGTATCAATGGTCTTTCCAAGGAAGTAGCAACATTTTGGTCTTGATGAATCATCTAACGAAGATAACCCACCTTGCTGCTTCCAGCGACTTTGTTGCCGATAAAAGCGCAGCCAATTTGTCTCACGACAAAACATCCACCAACATGGCTTGTGGATAGCCATAGATTTGGATCGAGATTCGGGCTTGGTAGCGTGCTCAGTTTAAGATCGGATGCTGACAGATCGTCAAACCAATTTTGTAGAGTAGGATATACTCTGAATCCCTAGAGCGGATAGACCGCGGTGCTGAAGCTTCATGTGTCACTCATTGAATTTGAGCTAAACGATGCAGTACACGCCTCTACAGTCATCACCCTTCTCTATTGAAATGGATTAGTTAGATCAGACGACTCCTTGACACATCCACAACGTGACTTCGGTCTCGGAGGATGAGGCTTTGTCAATACTGACAGACTGATTATTATGAGACTAGCTTCACTTTGTGGCAAAATCGACGGTATCTCTTTGAAATGATTAAGCATTGTGTGCTCAATGCGCGACGTTACGACTACAAGGCCGAATATGCAGAGACAACTACTGGCAGACGGAGAACACATGAATTCGTAGGAATGCTGCAAGAATCGCTTGCTGCTATGCGCGCCAACATTTAAAAAGACTTGTATGGTAGCAAATTCAGCAGATCAATGGGAATGACCAGGGCTATGAATAGCACAAATTGAGGGAAGGCGAGTGCCCGCCTCAGCATCGACATTTTTATTGCAAACTGCACAGTCAAGCACAAAATGACGTACATGTCAAGAGTTCGTTTGATAAAATCTAGCTCATACAGTCGTAAATTGGTGACATAAGTTTCACCACTCAACGCTCGACATTTTTTGCGATGTTTATTATCGTCGAAGTTTCTACTAAAGACAGGTTCTTCGTGGAGGGCACTGATTGCTGAATTGCTGCTGAACCAGCCTTAAGCGATACTCATGAGTAGCCGCGACCTATGGCGTCAGGAAAAAAATCTCGGTGCGAATTTTAAACACAACTTTTGCTTATCAGTCAAGCAGCAGGTGCACACAAGTAAATTTCTAAGGGCTTCGCTGAGGCACGGCGAGCGGTTTCCGACGGATCGAATCTATCGAGCTCAAAATTACGACGTGGTATCGTTGGAGCATCCTCGTTGAAGGTCCAAGCAGTTTTTTGTGGCAGAGATTCAACATGGCTTGCTGAACTAGGTCCAGCTCGTTGATAATAAGTTTGGCTTCGCCACGAATCCTTTGGTGAGGTATCTGAACACTTTCCATTTCTTACAATTACTACAGCGTGCACAAGCATCTGAGCTTTGAAGAAGGTCCGTGAAAGGAGAGCGACATGGCCGTGTACTCATAGGCGCGAGGATGGAGCGACTCGGTGATTCATTTCAACAATGTCTGCCTCGCCTTTACAACGAGCAACGTTTGAAGATGTGGGTCTCAAAGACGGCGTCTTTCTTGATAGCTTATGAGGCATAATCTATGATAGCCGGAGGAGCGTTCAGCGCAATCGACGCTCGTAGAAGCAGCGTACAGCTAAGATAAGCCTGATTTGACTTAATGAGTCGCGTTTACAGACGCATGAAGAATAGGCTCGTAGGTTCTGTCTCGAGAGCCTCTACAGTAACTGCATACCTTCTACTTCAAGCGTAAGATATATTTATGGTTAACTCAAAGTCTACATGTATATGTTTTACTACGTTCGATTATTGACGATATGTTGGTCGGATGTGATGCTCACAGCTCACTTTTGTTCCAAACTCCATCCTCTTAATCAGTATGAGACCCATGAGCTTTGCGCAAAGGTAAATGTAAGCGTACATTAAATATGGTAGTGCCCTGTCACATGACTCATCATGAGAGCCTATGCAATAAAGCTTCACCGTATGTCAATAAGCAAGCACTTGTGTGGGCATGTGTGAAGCTTGTCAGCGGGTCAAACGGCATGCGGTAGCGCCTTTGATCATCTGCTTATTGCGGCAGAATGTTGTCAGCCCATTAGTAAAAATTGAGCCCTGTAATACCGACATTGAGGTCATTGTGGATCACCTGATTAAGATGACTTATCACCGCGACACTTCACCTGTAAGGATACAACCAAATTGTTCTGTGACAAAGATTGTATCTACACCGCTTATCTTGGGCCATTGTACCAAATAGAGGTTTGCGCTGCAGAGATAATTTTCTGTGAACTTGTATCAGGTGGTTGACACTAGATGGTCACTGCAGTACCAAATCAGCTGTAAGACAAAATCACGATGATTACGGTTTGGCGTATAGACGTTGGAATGCTTGCGTGGATCGATTGCAGTACAAGAGCGAAATATTGACAGTAATTGAATTTGTGTTGCACAACACCATGAAAGCCAAGATTTGATACAGATCATGCACCCTAAGTAGCAACGCTTGTGCCCTAAATTACGTCATATTGAAGTTGCTGTAGGCATCAAAACATTACGAGTGATGCCCCATCTTGCCATATTTAACTCCACTTCACTATTTGATTTGCTACCTGTTTCTCCGACGTGATGATGCACCGCGTATCCCGCTTGGCCGCTCGACGCCCCCTTCGCACATTTTCCACATCATCTGTGGTGAGTATCCTCCCACTTCTCTCTCTTTCAAATCTAGCTTAACGAATATCTCTTGCAAACAGGAGCGCGTGCCGCTTTTCATCGATGGCAAGTTTGTGCAGTCCAAGACAGACAAGTGGATTGATTTACGAAACCCAGTAAGTTACTTATTGAGACTAGGTTCAAAAGCATAATTGAATGGACGCACGATGTATTACAACATATAGGCGACGAATGAAGTGATTTGCCAAGTGCCGGAAGCCACACCAGATGAGGTAAGACGAATGTATCATTTCAAAAGTCGCATAATGTTTGATTCAGCTTTATAACTCTTATGCTGCTTCGCATAGATGCGCCAAGCTACACAAGCTGCTTCGCGCGCTTACAAGACCTGGAAGGAGGTGGGCGTGCAGCAGCGTCAGCGCGTCATGCTCAAGCTGCAGCATCTGATTCGCGAGCACACAGACGAACTTGCCTTGTCTATCACTAATGAGCAGGGAAAAACCCTTGCTGATGCTCGTGGTGATATTTTTCGTGGTCTTGAAGTGGTTGAGCATACGTGTGGAGCTGCAACGCTCATGATGGGCGAGACAGTTGAGAATCTAGCCACATCCCTCGACACTTACTCGTTCAAACAGCCGCTTGGTGTATGTGCTGGTATCTGCCCCTTCAACTTTCCTGCTATGATCCCACTGTGGATGTTTCCTACTGGCACAGTGACCGGTAACACGTACATACTTAAGCCGTCGGAAAAGGACCCTGGTGCAACTATGGTAAGCATCAAATTGTTTAGTATTCCCTTGTGGCAACAGCTCTGATCAATCTCATTTGCGCTTTACGTAGATTCTTGCTCGACTGGCTCAAAAAGCGGGTCTTCCAGACGGTGTTCTCAATATCATACATGGCGCTCATGTAAGCAATTAACTGGGTGTGCCCATTTCAAATTAGCTGATTTTGGTGTCTCGTGATAGGATACGGTCAATTTTATCTGTGACGCCCCAGAGATAAAAGCCATCTCGTTCGTGGGTGGCAACCAGGCAGGCGAGTACATTCACTCTCGTGGTAGCGCTAATGGAAAGCGTGTGCAGGCCAATCTTGGTGCGAAGAATCACGCTGTCATCATGCCTGATTGCGACAAGGATCAGGCTGTTGGTGCTCTCGCTGGGGCTGCATTTGGAGCTGCAGGCCAGCGTTGCATGGCCCTTTCGGTTGTTGTTTTCGTTGGCAAGTCGAAGGAATGGGTCAAGGATATTGTTGAGAAAGCCAAGACAATGAAGGTCAACGGAGGCATGGAGCCCGATACGGATGTAGGCCCACTAATCACTGTGGCGGCTAAAGAGCGGGCGGAGCGACTAATTCAAGAAGGCGTGGACAATGGCGCTGAGCTTCTACTCGACGGACGCAATGTCAAGGTACTCAAGTATCCTAACGGCAACTTTGTTGGTCCTACAGTACTGAATAACGTCAGCACAGACAATCCTGCATACGTCGAAGAAATTTTTGCTCCCGTGCTAGTTTGCACATCAGTGGACACGCTGGAAGACGCGATCGAGCTCATAAACCGCAATCCGTATGGTAACGGGACTTCGATATTTACGTCATCGGGAGCAGCTGCGCGTAAATTCCAACATGAAATTGACGTAGGCCAGGTCGGTATTAATGTGCCGATTCCCGTTCCTCTTCCTATGTTTTCGTTCACTGGTTCGCGAGCGTCGATCCGTGGTGACTTAAACTTTTATGGGAAGGCTGGTATCAACTTTTACACACAAATTAAGACAGTAACTTCATTGTGGGACTACAACGAAAAAACTCGCTACGGTGCTGTGATGCCAACGCTTAGTTAGGACTAAGAATTAACAGATATACGAAGAAAAGTTGTATGAAGATGGACCTTGTTGTAGTGATGGATAGCTGTGATGTGTCATATTTTTTGCCTGGATGTCTAAAGCATCAAACTGCGCTAACTAGATTGTCCTTAACGTCGTCGCCCATTTCCACGACCTCGCCCGCCTCTGCGCTCGGCATGGTAGCCTCCACCATTTCCATACTCAATCCGATCCGTCTGCTCTTCATCAGCTTCCGAAATCTTTGTTTCCTCGAATCTTCGTCCATCAGGTTCGCTCAGCGTGCAGTGATTAGCATGATACTCGTTTACCAGCATTTCGAGTTGGCCAGCAGCATTAGCTGCGCCAGTCTTGGCATTCTTGCTTAGTCGTGGACAAACGTCGCGAGCAATGAGAACTAACAGCTTGTGAAATTGCTTCTTGTAGTTCCGCAACAACTCAAAGCCTGCCACTTCCAGAATGGTCAGAGTCAATGCACCAGTCATGAGGTGCGGAGGCTCGTTTACTAGCCGAGCTAACCATGACCAACAGTCCCCAAGCTCGAGCCCTGGCGGAGATGAGCTTCTATCCCACGGCGTGGTTTGACGGACAGCAGCCAGCACAGCCGATATCATTGTCATGCGTCTTGTGTACTCCGTAACGTGCTCGAGACCGTCTGGATCCGAGCTTTCGCCCACTGCCTTCTGAAAGCCCACAAAAATTTTATACTCAGCGACCGATTGTGACGAAAGCTTCTCTGGGTTATCGGGAATTGTAAACACGCATGCCTTATAAAAGTAGCCCAGCATTACGTTTGTTAACTCCGGATTTTGCACACAGCTCATTTTTATTACGTGTGCAATAGGATAGCAAGATCTACCGCAACGCAAAAGCCACATCGTTACAAGTAGATACAAATAGATTGAAGCCACTGTCAGCTTACTTGTAATCTGCACGACATTCGACCTGCTTGAACAAATTCGAGGCTACCATGTCTAGTGCAAATTTAAAGTAAGCATCACCTGATGACTTGGCCATCTACAACAAATGCTTTTGTTGTCAACCTTTACGTCCAGAGCAGTCTGCTACATTATTCACACTGACCTGTAAAAGCTGCTGAATTTTGCTGACAACGTTTTTAATTGCTGAAGGAGCAGCCGCAATTTGATTGCACGCCCCAGCCTGTAATGAAAAATTCATTATTACAACTACTACAACGTCATAGACTTCTGACAATAAAAGCAAGCTATATGCTCTTACTTCGCGCCGAATTTGCACACGAATTTTCTTAACCGACGGATCAGTGCTGTCAAGGATTTTAGTTGTGTGGCGTTGAAGCTCCACCAAATGTCTGATCTGATCGTGTCCTTCTTTAACATATTTTTTCACCCGAGCGTTCGCTTCCTTCTCGGCACTTCTTTTGTCGGCCTCTTCCCTCTGACGCTCTTCCTCCAAATTTGCTGCTTTTTTAGCAGCCTGGGCTTTATCTCTTGCTTGCGCTTCTTCGGTCTCACACTTTTTTCTACGCTGCGCTTCTGCAACCTCCTTTTTCTTTTCTGTCTCTAGCAACGCCTGATCAATAAAACTACAGTAAGCTATGGAACCTTCACATTATTAATCCCAGTACCTTCTCGCGAAATTCTACTTCACGACGCGCTGCAGCATCTTCACGCTTCTGTGTCTCAGCTACCCATCTACGCTCACCCTCTTGCGCCTGCCGATAAGCTCGCAGCTCATACTCCGACTGTTTCAACGCCGCTCTTTCCATCGCCCGTATTTGCTGAAGTTTAGCCGCGGCCTCACTCTCCAGCTGTTGCTGTTCCCTCACCACATTCACATCGTCCTCAAAATTGAGCGACCCGGCATTCAACTGTTGCAATTGAATTTCTGCATCCTGCCGCGCGCGCTGCAATGTCTCACACAATGCCTGGTACGCTTGACTAGCTGTCACCAATTGCACCGCTTTTCGCTCACATGCACGCTCAACTTGTCTCAGTAATTCTTGTCGCGACTTCGTATTCAGCTGCAGTGTGGTCAGTGACGAAGTTAAAGCGCGGACGCCGCGACTGATGTTTGCCACGGCCAAGTCCGATTCCGCCGAGTCTTCATCGTCACTAGTTGTCGACGAGCTGCTTGAACTTGGCGCACGGAACCTTCTTGGGATTATTGCTGCATTACGACAAGGTTTTTGTATGTCTTGTTTCTTCCAAAACGCGCTGGTTCCCGTCGGTGGCGCATTGTCTCCCTCGCTTTCGACCCCAAACCGCATGGGGATGAATGGTATCGATACCGGTAGCTGCGTGTCATATTTGTTCGGTCGATTTTGTGACATATTGTTTAAAATTTGAACACAATTTGACCGAAAACTGAACCGTAACCGCAATGGTCAAACCGTTAGCCCTCTCCACCATCCATATAGCCGCAACAGTCCACAAAGTAAGGTTTTAACACTCACCTTCTTCCTCTGTTCGTGACCCAAACAGCGTTATCATGGTAAGCAACAGCATTGATATAGGTGCTCGCCTGAAATGGATATACGAAAGCGATGAGGGCTGAGAAAAGGGCAGAAACGAAAGCATACTAATTTTGGGCCAGAAAAGTGATTGCAACGCAGTACAGGAGCCTTTCGGGAAATGTCACAAATGGCAGCGCTGTTCAGTCTTTTCCTCACCCTTCTCCAAAGCTTGAGCTATTCATTAATTGCTGTAGCGCCAATGGAAGTGATTGAGGATCTAACAAACTGTTTTGCTTTGAACGCAACTAGCCTCGTGACCTTCTGCACCCATCTGCCGCCGAGGAGGCGTCTAAACACAAACTTCGACGTCTCGTACAGTCTCCCAACTCGTACTTCATGGACGTCAAGTGTCCAGGCTGCTTTAACATCACCACGGTGTTCAGCCACGCCCAGACGGTCGTATTATGCGGATCGTGCTCCGTTATGCTGTGCCAGCCTACTGGTGGTAAGGCTCGCCTCACGGATGGCTGCCAATACCGAAAGAAGACCGAGTAAGCAATTAGTAAAATCGAGGGGTTGGCCGTGGCAAGTAGATATTTGTCGCACAGGAACGAAAGGAAATCAAGTAAGAAAGCAAGTTGTTCATGCCCGTTTGGGCTTCTGCTCGCATGTTTGCATACTTCGACTCATCGATAGACTCGGATGTGCTGGTAGGAGAGGAAGTCTTTTCTCTATCAGGCTGGCTGGATCATTAAGTTGGTATGCTACGTTCAGTGTAGCTGCTAACATGAATCAAGGAATGTAAGAGTTGATTATTTTGAAAGTTTTCGTTCAATTGGCTCTCCATCATGTCCTGCAGTTCTGTATCAGTACAATATCGATATGATCAGGCATCACTTGTTTTTTGTTTATTTGATTACTTCACAGCTTTCTGTGACTATTTTTCTTTGCATCATTGCCTATACAAACCATTCCAGTCGTCGCATTTTAATTTGCCACTCTACGTGCCATTGCCTAAACAAACGATTATTATGTTTTCGCAGTCTCGTCGTCTCCTTTGCTGAACCATAAAATACGTGGTCATGCGTGAATAGCAGTTCGATCTTTCTCTTCTACAATCCATGTGCTGTCATCTTCCAAGTCCAAACGTTCAGCAAGTGCCATAATTGATCCGGTCTCCAGCAAGTACGACACCAATTTATCGTTTGCATCTACCATTTCATCCAGTACATCGACATTATCTTCGTCCTCGATCGCAACCTCCTCATCTTCACCCGAAATAGTCGTGCCAGCATCTTCATCCTCATCATTCGACCCGTTTGAGTCATTCTCGGATGCTAATTCATCTGCATCACGCCGTCGAAATCTAATATCTTTACCTACCGATTTTGTAGATGAATTTTCATCTGAAGACGAGTTATCAAGTTGTTGCTGATCTTTGTGCTGTTGATTTTGCTTCGAGCCTTTTCCACAGGCTTTTTGACCTCGAAGTAAAGCCGCCTTGCGCTCTTTCGTTCGCTGGCGTTTCTTCTGACGTTTGCTACGTTTGGACGCTTGACGTGCCTGCTTTTCATTCGTTTCTTTCTTTGTCTCTTCCATCCAAAGACTCTCCTGATACTTGAGATGAAACACTGTGCAGTCACAGTTTTTGCATACATTGCACTTACACTCGGCGCAAAAGAACGTATCATTCGAATGTTTAGAAAAAGGGCCCAGACATATTGCACAAGTGACAAAATGTTGCTGCCAGATTCGTGTAGCACGTTTAGCCACAGTCGCCGATTTGTGTGACACCAATGTTTCTATATTAGCAGAAGCCATAAGACTTGCGTACGGGTTTGGTGAATCTGTGCGCTTTGCCTCCAACTCACCGACCTGAAGAATGCGCTCCAAGCCTTCTAATGCCATCATTACCATACTCGTTTCTTCCAAAAGATTACCTAGAATCTGAATACAGCCCTGATTCACAAGATACTCAATTTGACTATCCGATCCACATGAGGTAGCGTTAAGAACGACCCAACATGCTTCACTTTTGACCTCAGCATCGGTCGCATCAGATGCTGCAAGTCCCATCAATGACGGAATACATCCTGAATCCAACACACACTGGATCTGATCAACGGTCCCTGCAGCAATGTTCGACAAAGTCCAACACGCCTCTTTTTGGATCTCACGATTGGAATGAGCAATAAGTCTACGTAACGAAGGTACAGCACCACACTCAATAATGTGCTGCGTATAGTCGTGATCATCCTCGGCACACACAATGTTCCCAATCGCACGCAGGGCTGGCTTTGTGACTCGCCATGACGAATGACTTAGTAGTTCGACGAGCCGAAAGCACACGTTTGAATCCACAACCGCCTGAATGTGTGTACTCGGTCCATCGCACAAATGGGAGAATGCCCAGCATACGTGACTCAAGATTTCTGTGTCTGTACTCGTTAGCATCTTGGCCAGATAAGGAAGTATGAGCGCAATATCAAACACTGGTCGTGGCTGGCCATCACACAGGTTGCTAATCGTCCATGTCAAGATACGCAACAACGACAGACGGTCCCACGACGTCTTTTTTAAGTTATTGACCAGTGGCGTGAGAGCACCAGCGCTGAGCACAAGATCTCTCGTAGCTGCACCTTCACCAGCCAAGTTACCAAGAACCCATACTGACTGCTCCAATACCTACTTGGAGCACGTCAACGGACAAGTGAAGCTTAGCAAAACAGTCTGAATAAATTCAGCTTCTACTTATCTTACCTCCTCATTCGACGAGTCCAGCAATGAAACCAGCGTTGGAATCACGCCATTTTGCAACAAAACCGAAGTGTTGTCAGTTGCTCCAGCAGCAATGTTTGTAAGAGCCCATAGGGCTTCGACTTGCAAAGTTGGTCGGTCTCGCAAACGAAGCCATTTGATAAGACGTGGAGTCCAGTTCTTCTCCAGCATCTTCATAGAGAAAAGCAAAAAGCGAAGATAAGTCAGACCAATTGTGACTTGATCACATACAGATGATTGCCACTACCTGCCGAATCAGAAGATCTCGCTCAGATGACAGCAACACGCGCAGCTTCTTGGCTGCTTCAAGCTGCACGTCTGCATCTTCTGAGCTCAATCCAGCATCAATTTGATTAACATCACCCTGGAATGTGGGTGATACAGCAAGAGATCCTGTTCTGACCGAACCATCGAGTGCATTTGTCCCTAAACTTGCGTTCGCCAGTCCACTGAGACTTCCATTGGCCAACAAACTCGCACCATGCGAGAGGTGGTGATGAAGGTGGTGACCATGTGAATGCAATGAGTATTGTGGCTGTGGTGCGAGAGCCGTATTGGTCGTCATACCATTGGAAGCCGAAACGCTGGTCTTCCCAGTGCCTCCCGTGTGACGAATCGTCGTGGTCGTAGACGTTACGAGGGTAGCGTTGCCCCCACGGTGTGTAGCCTGATGGTGGTGCACAATGTCGCCGTTTTCTGTACGGTGCGCGCTACTCGTCGACTTTTTAAGCGCCAGATTGGCTTGCGACAAGGTACTGGGTAATGCTGCCACTGCTGCAGCTGTGAGCTCAGCGACGTCAGTGGGGGATAAAAATGCTTTTTGGCTGATGCTCGATTGAAAAGGTCCACTCATTCAAGCAAGATGTTGGGGTTGGATGGTAAGTCGGTGTTTCGAGTGACTAAGGGGCGCTCTGTCTGCTAACACAAGGCGAGTCATACACGCGCAGTGAAGGAATTAGATGATGGCGGATCAAGGCGATTAAATCACCGGATGGCGGCGAAATGGTCGTGCAGTTAAAGGGTGATCAATACTGCCAGATCCAGCCGGAAGTTGCAGCGCAACGCACCTCTTTGAAGACCCAGAAGCCGCTTTGTGAGCTCCTCAAAGTCTTCTTCTCTTTGGTCGCTTAATCGCTGGGTAGTTAAATCTGAGAATTTATCACGATGTCCATGTTAATTAGCGTTTCTCTTGCATTTTATGATGCACCTGTTTCTTATCATGTGATTCGCACTATTTAGTCTAATATGATCTGATAGATTACGATTATGAAAGTTGCAATGTTAAGAGATTGATGTAAATTGCGGGTTGTCATAATGCATTGAATTTAAGATCAAGAACATATCATTTGTGCGATATTCCAATAACTGGAAAGGAGTGAAAGAGTGAGATTCGCAGCCATTTCTTGTTCACAAGTTCGCACCTAAACGACAAATGCATAGCTGCCGAGCTGTCATCGTACCAAGAAGTGCCGTCCCATCAATCCAACTATCCCTGGCTACAGCGTGTTGGATATCCACAACAGGCGTGGCAGTGCTCGCCCTGCTCGAGGTCTTCGGATCTGGACCATCTACCTCACGATGATTGGCAACGTCCCAAAACGTCACGCTTCCGACATCCTGAGACCACGAGGATACAATTGAAGTGCCGTCAGCTTCGGACCATATTGCCGAACGAGATAAAACAGATGAAGCCTTGTGTCCAGCAAACTCAAAATTTGGTGCACGCCTCCCAATCTCGATGGAATGTAAGTCGAACACACTGTGCTTTGTTGGCATAGAACGTTCTGAGAGCACAACTTTCTGGGAGTGTAATTGATCGGACGCGAGCGAAAAACAAGCTTGATCAGTAGGTACGTGTGCAAATGGTGTCGCTCCAACAGAAGTATTTGGACTCGCCTCAACATTTTTCCAAATTGATAATCCGCGAAACGTAGCCGCTGCAAGTCCTTCCATACCCTCAGATGATTTATATAGCTTAATTGAATGTACAGGCTGCCGTTCTGGTAGCAAAAAGCTTTCAACGATGCCGTGGTTGCCTGCATTTGGCTTTCGATAGTCGTACTTGGCCACACTCCCATCTTGAAAGCCACAATACATTGCATAAGGATCGGATGCACTAAATGTGCACGACCAGCCTTGTCGTCTTCCGTTAGGAAGCATTATTTGAAGCACCACCTTTTGATCGTTTAGACATGTCATTGCCATTTTACCATCGAATGCCACCGTAAGTGCAAACGCTTCCGATGAATGAATGCAAATGTCACGCACTTCTGAATTGTGAACAGCAAGGCGTTCTCCTCGTGCTGGGTTCTGACAGCTCAAAATTAAAAGCCCATGAGAGCCTTGTGGTTGTTTATCACCAACGCACACGAATCTACACGATCGGGCAATGCTATGAACGCGTGCACCTAGTAGAGACACAGCCCATAGATGTTTGTATTTGTAGACTGCTGCAGAAAATGACAAGTTGCCAATTTTGGATGGTAGCTGGGACGTAGAGACAATAGAAGGGTGCGAGCAGCTTTGGCGATCTATGCAAGCAACTTCCGATCGCTTCAAGTCTCTACAAGGTATTGGTGAGCCATCAACGCTCGCATTATATGTTGATTGGGACTGGATAAATTGATAATCAAATGCCTCCATACATCTCTGTTGCTCGCGCATCTCCGCATATTTTTTTCTCAATTTTGTCAAGTCCGCATACAGTTGCTGAACCTTTTCCTTCTTTCTCCGCAACTTTTGTCGAAGGAATGCGACATCCATTTCCAATTTGCTTGTATTCACCTTTTCCTGGTTAAATTTCTGAGTCATGTCTTCTATTGCCGAGTTGTCCACGACCGCTACGTGATTCAAAAATAAAAAAAAGATGTCCGTTTGATTTATGCAAGCGTTGCAGATGGGACACGTGTGCTTCTCACAGATCCACCGTTCGATGCAATGCTTACCAAACAAGTGGCCGCATTTAAGCGCCACAAGACGATGATTTCCAGTTATTGTGCAGTCATCGCAGCAGATCGTGCACTCCGTCGGCTGGACTTTTGTATTCACGATTGAGCGCTTGCGTTTGCGTCTGCGTGAAATTTTTTGCTCGTCCACTGCGTTCTGAGCAGCTGCCGCAGCCTCCGCCGCAGTCAAAATCTGTACGTCATCATCAATTTCTGATGCTGTGAAGGGCTCAACCGAAACAGAATCGCTGACAAAATTTATTGCTGGAGAAGGTTGCACATGCAACGACCACCTAACGTTGTATCCATTATCAACATCGTTCTCATTGTCTTCACTGCTGCCGCTGAAATCATTTTCTCCATCATAATTGGCGGAATGAAGCTCGGTGTTAGCTGGCATGCTTTGTTCTGATTCCATAAAAGTCTGTACAGAAATGTGTAACTCATTCACCGATGTCCAAGCTCGAAGTGTATTTTCGACCTAGTGATGTTTCCCTGATGCTTACCTATCCAAGCACAGCAACACAGTAGTGTCTGGTGAAATATTTTTTTGACACTCGTGAGATAATTTAGTTTTAAAAGTAAACATTCGAAACGTATATTTTAGTTAGAATCTTATAAAAATTAGTTTGCTAGTTGAAGGTTTAGCGTGGCCATAACTCCGTCTTATATACCGCATGCAATGCATGTAAGTAGGTAAATTGTCCATGCAAGCAGGGAAATAGCATCCAATAAACTTTTGGTAGGTCATTAAAATTCGTGCGTGTTCCTACTACCTCCGGTTCGGCGCATTGCCTTGTTTATCTGGGCTTTAAGCCATAGTGTTGCGCACCCCAGCGTGAAGCTCAACACTTTGTGAAACAACCAATTTTGCTTCGAAGTATAGCCGGAGTGATATCAGCAAGTCAATTTTGATCAAGATGCCCTCTTTCACGAACATCAGAGCCACTTCGTAACGGTGTCAATGGCACCTGGAAGTTTATCATTCATGTAAAGTGTAGTAAGGCCTACAAAGGCACTGTCTTATCCAACGCAACTCAGTGAATTAATGCAGCTTGCTTCAGCACCATGACTTTCCTTGAAAATGCTTCAAAGTTTATTCTACACATCGCAATTCACGCATTCATCTATTGGTGGATCATCAGCGATTATCATATCCAATCTCGTGTCGCGCACATTGAACTGCCTTTGCCAAATCTTCGCTGTAAATTGCAGATCTGTATCTGATACAATGACCCCCTATAAGCTGTATTGCTAAACACGTTATTGAGAAACAGTATTACTGACTGCAGCGAGATGAGTCATCTTATTCAGACGGTCCAAGACGACAATGCACGTTTAACCGGACGCGTATTTGAAAGACCAACACTTTTATCCACACCATTGGGCTACCAACAATCCGCTGGAACCGTCAGGCTGGCCAGAAACAGTGTCCCGTGCGAAATATGTAACCCCTCAACATGCTCATACATGTTGGGTTGCTATTACAAAGCTCTCAGCTAGCAGTTGTAAGAGGGTGCTGTTCACAAACAGTCCTTCAAACACAACACACACGCTTGTGCGACGAGAAAGCGATTCCTAACGTGGAGGTAGAAGGACAGTCCCGACTTGGAAGAAAGAAGAACGACTTAATACCTTAAAGGTAACTTCGCAACTGAACTGAAATGAGTAATGGTTCCTAGCTACATGTCACGTAGCGCAGGCGAGGAAACGTTGGCGGAGGAAGGCGAAGGCGTTGGCGCAAGGTGAGCGCTGGCGGAAGCTGTTGGAGAGGAGGTCCTGCTGACTTAGAGGGAAAATGAGAAGTGATTTATTGATC